GTGGTCAAGAGTTCTCGTTTTTATATGTTTCTCGCCGAGAGAAAACTTGAAGATCATTGGTTGATCGCGAGGTGGAAAGGGACCTTAGGAGTCCCGGTCGTACCCAGTGTCACAGGTAGCAAGAAATCCCGGAAAAGGCGACCGAAGGGATGCGTGCTGGCGACCCTGTCATAAATCAAGGAAATGTTGCCGATGAAGTGTGCGTTATCCGAAATTGCAGAAATTACTTTATTGCCGGAAAGGAGACGGCTCGAAGGAATTAGAAATTTAGAAACTGCAGGCGAAGGCTCTACGAAATTGGAGGCCCAACGAACGTGACTTTTGTCAATTGCACGTCGTTCGTTGAAGGACCGTGAATTTGCCACGCTGCACCGAAGGTTCCCCGTAAATAAACTGTTTTTGAGGGATTGGAGGAAGGTAGTCCGTCCCGGAGAAAGTCGGGCGGACACAGCTGGAAAATTCCGTTGCAAGACGGAACAGCAACTCTATGTAACATTGGTACGTATTTTTGAGTTCGAAACATACATAATGAACAAAATCGTGCTGGATCGAAATGATTTTTGACAGAGTAGCATTTATATGAAAGTAAAATGACTATGGTAAAAGTACTTGTAAAAGTACCTGAGTGAGAAATGTTTTCGAATGAATATCGTCAATGCCACGTAGCAAAAGCACCGCGACAAATGGCAGCGACACTGACGCTATTGCATCCTCGAGACTCATTAAGTGTTAACAACATTTTTCTACAGTTCTATCACGCGCGATGCACCTTGAGAGGCTCGTATCGCGTGTTTCATAGACTCTTATGTTTGATTTATGATCGATTGTCAGGTGTTTATAATAGTGGAACGCTAGCTCAATTAAGCCTCGTTTGCTTAAGTTTCGATTAACAGTAGATTAACCGTTCCCTAGATTGATGTTTCCGCGCGAATGCCCGATTCGCATAATTTATCAACGGGTGTACCATGATCGATGCGAGAAAAATTGCTCGATCGAGCTACGGCTTTCATTAAAGACGAAGAACCTTGAGCTTCTATTTGCGCTAACTAAATTGTATCGTTAGGATTATTGGAAGAAAAATTGCAAAGCCACGTGTCGCTCGTTCCCGAGAACTCTGGTAGCGCTGTGTTTGGTCAAGTACTATTAGCCCGTGGTATTCAAGGTCAACGACAAGTCCCCTATAAGGTAGCTTCGTTTCATCTTCATCAGCCGAAGAAATAGGCTCTCGCCATTTGACGTTAACGTCCATCCGCATGAATATTCATTTGCCGTCTAGCATACCGTTCTCCGCTATCATGATTAATATCTCGCCTGTGTGACGGAGCAATAGAACGATGACTCTGGAGAAACTCTTTCCCATGTAATGAGCGACAAAAAAATGTTGTTTGCCGTCAGGATTAACCTGTTAATTAAATCGTCTTTCGTGCTCGCTGTTACGCTGTGTCTCGGTTCTGTAATTTCCCGGTTTCTTGCAGCTCGTCTCTGCTGAACTGTGTCAGCGTTTTCTAGAAAAATTTCCTTCTCGAATGATCTCGCGAACTCAACGTTGATTTCTTGTTGTTTGAAAGTTGTCCAAGACGATTGTAAGAAACAGATATTAGACAGAACCATGTAAATTGTTTCTTCGAATAATTTCGATAAGTTCAAGTGTGACTGTATTATTAAATTCTTTGTATGTCTTCACAGCTTCATATTTGAGTTAGTCATTTTTGCCATAAGTGCGTAAAATGCGCAGTTTGTTCTCTACACAATGCTAAATGAAACACTTTTCATTTTGCTTATGATTTTCTTAGTTCAGTATTTAAGCATGTGTTTTCTAATTTGAGCAGAAATGTGCCATTATTATTATTATTATTATTATTGTTATTAACCATTTGTGACAGAAATTGGTAGACTGAATGGAAAACAGTGAGATATTCAAAGAATTTACAAGCACTATCAAAACAAGAAATTCACGAATAAGGTAATGGTAACTCATTTGTGACAAAATGATTAGCGAGAGAGAGAGAGAGAGAGAGAGAGAGAGAGAGAGAGAGAGAGAGAGAATCAAATTATTGAATTATTTATTCATTCGAGTAATCATCTAGACTCTAGACTAAAAATTATTTGAATAATGCCCAGCTCTACCTCTGACTACGAGCATGAAGGAGCTAATGTCCCATTAGGTCTCCCCCATAAAAATATCAAACTGTTCATTCGATTCAGTTTCACATCCGTGGGGACGTGATGCTCGGGCGTGTCCAAGCATAAGAAATCTTTGAATTTGATCATGCGAGTGGTCTTTCTTCGGCGAGATGCGTAAACACGGGTCTACGAGATCCGCGTCACGCACGGTTTTGCTCATCGCTTTGGAAAGTAAAAGTTCCCTCGTCCTGTGAGCCTTTTCTCTGCGCCGCGCCGCGCCGTGTGTGGCACATGCATCCCGCCGCCGACGTCTTCTTCGTCCTCTTCTTCGCCGGCCCGTTAAATCGTTATCTCTGACGTTGATCTTCTTCGCGTGGAAATGCCCACACTTTCACGTTAGAAGATCGTTGACTATTGTCCCGCGAGCTGCGCTTAGGTTCTGAGTCATTTACTGGGAAATATCAATGGCACGCGTTGCCTTTGCGCGATGGTGGAAGAAACAGAATTGTGAATTTTGGAATTTTTTGAAAAGAAATTGGTCAGGTCATTTCGATTGAATTTTTGTACACTTATTAACCCGCCATTTGCAGTACAAAATATATTTCTCTGAAGCTCATATAGTTAAAATTGCATGAGTTGTACTTCCTTTTCTTAAACAACGTTTCATATGTATGTAAAGGTTCATTTTGAATATTATTTTCTATATCCTATTTGGGAATTTATTTGATGAAAGTCGGGAGATCTCTTTGTGCTAAAGTGTTGCGCACTTATTAACCGTCATTTAGAGTACAGATTGCATTTTTTCAAGCTGACATAATTAGAATTGCATGAGCCGCACTACCTTGAATAAAGTCTCATAAACAAGGATTTGTTCTAACGAGTGCCATTTTAGAAAGTTTTTGGAATTTTTTTAAAAGAGATTGAGAGATCGTTTTCTATTGAATGCGAAATGAAAACCAACCATCACTTGAAGTACAGAATATGTTTTTTTCAATAGTGAATATTGCATGAGCTTATTCTCCGTCGAACAAGATGTTCTTAAAAGAATCATCTGACTGGTCGATGTAATTGCATTGGTTCCGATAATTTCAGGCAAAACACGAAACAGTTGTTTTTAATACAATGAACGTGGCGACTGTGCGAGCCAAGATAGTAGGGTATTAATGATAACGAAATGATAAAAAAAATATAAAACAATGGCACGTTAGGCCAGAGATAAACTTATCGACCGTGTGCAGAGAGAGCTACGAGGAAAAATATTGGAAATTTGAAGAGTTATCGTGTAACTTTCAGTGATTATTGTACGAATCGTAACGAGTGCTTTTTTATCAAAATTAGGAGCGAAATTAGCAGTATATCTGGGAACGAGCCGCCGCAAATGCAGACTCGAAATCGGAGAGTAGGACAAGACCTGATGCCGCAGTATTATCCTGACGTGTTCATGGATATCTCCATGGATCTGTCCATGAATATGGTAATGAGTAAACCACTTTTCCCCCAAGATGATGAACCGTTAATATACTAATCACTATTCTGTCAAGTATGAAACACTGTACTTGACTATATCAATAAATTATTGGGAACAACATGTTTGAATTTAAAATGTACGAAGTCGAACGAGTGTTAATGAAATAAAAGGTTAGATGGTGTGCTAACCATTTGCATTCTAAGCTGTTTTAATAGTACTTTCATTCTTAACAATTCTTCAAATATAAGTCAATTTAATAATGTACAAATTACTTTGAAAAATGATGTAGCAATTTTTAGTGGCACTTCGTAGACGTCATTTGAGTGTGAAAGGTTAAATATGTTGCATGAAATTTCAGAGTGTAAGAAATATTTTAAGAGAAAGTGCAAGGAACGAGCATTTTCCACATCCCAATCTTATGTTACATTCATGGTTTAATTAAACTCGTAATTTATGTTACATTTATAGTTTAAATTACACTCATAGTTCAAGTAAAAAATCTGCGATCTAACACAGCAAATTAAAAATATTATTACATAATACACCGTTTAGTATTGGCAGAATGAAGCAATCGAACACTTAGCTAACTAATTGCTTCAATTTTTCCCGTCGTATCTTATAAAGTATTCACCTCGTGCAGTTTTGCAATCCGCTGCAATATGCATATAACAGCCAAATTGTGCACAGCAAATGATGGCACAGTACAATTACGTAGTTGCACAGTACGCAAAATACGTAGGAGAATAATTTATATTTAATTCATGGTTTCGCGTAAAACGTCTGCGCTGAATTTCATCAAAATTGCGGAGCAATAATTATGTTACTTGTATTTAAAAATGCTGGTGTAAAACACCTGCAGCTACATTAAAAGATGCAAAGTAATAATTATATTATTATTGTGTGACATATATTATAATTGTATATAATATAGTAGTATATGATATATAATATAATTATCACTTTGCATTCTGTATGAAAAGCTGCAGGTATTTTATTCAAACTGTGTGTATATTATATAATTATATTATTTATTCTATAATTATTTATATTATATAATATATGATATAATCATAATATTTATATATAAAACATAGTCCTTGAGAAAACGACTGCAGATTTTCGATAAAAACCAACGACTGTAGTTCGATTGCGTTTTAATTGCAGTTAAAAACAGCCATAAGGCTTAACGGTGCAAATTCCGTTGGCACATGCTTTCGGCTTCGTTGTCTCTGCGCCATCACAACCAATAATTTTCTCCGTGTCATTAGCATCGGGAATGGAATCACATTCGAACGAGACGAAAATGAAGCTGTTGCATCAGTACACAGTGGTTTGATGACTTCAGCGAGTGGTATAATTACGCCGGCATTACGACACGGCCGTGAGTAAGTTCGCGACTCGATCATTATTTTCTTAGATCTCGTATTATGCGATCCGGACCGGCCGCGTTGCGCAATACGGAAATCGATCCGGAAAATGTATAGTGATTAAAAAAATACATTATAGTGTTCCCGCACCGGGGGGGAATGCAACGCCGAAGCATTCCCATCGCTATGCTAATCCGGTTGCTATTCAAACTCATTAATATAGTCTCAGACATTTGCATCTACATCCGAGAACGATTTTGCAAATTTCTGTACTCCTCTTTGTTTGAATTTTCAAACGGATGTTGCGAAGCAGCCCGAACAATGCCAGTGGAAATTAAGTGAAACCATTTGCAGCTGTTTCGTACGGTTAATTTTTAATTAACAAGCGTTTTCACTAATCGCCCTCGACACCGGACTTTCGCTGAGAGACTGGTTCAATTGTTTCTCGAAAAATATTGATTATGTACACTCTTCTTTTCACTGATAGTGGTGGAAGATCGTACTAAGTGCTGTACGAGTTTAATAATTTCCAGTTGTCGAAATTTCGTGGATGCAAGGATAAAATAAAGATATTAATAATGATGATTAATACTTTTTATAAGTTCATGATGATGACTTTTTAGTTAAGTAACCGCTTGAAAAATTGTTATATCAAGGTTCGAATTTTATGGTACTGTGTAGAACTTGTTAAAAATTGTGAATACAGCAGTTAGAAAATATTATTAATTATCATAATTAATATCTACTAATTGCTATATTCGCAATTTAACAAGTTCTAAGATCTATTTACTATACATTAACAAGTACTATAAATTTTAAAATTCCATATACTAATTTCTCAAGCAAACACAAATTTGTGTTACAAATTGATAAATTCACTTAACAGAGAAACGTTACATTTTTCACAATGTTGCTTGAAATTCGAAGAAACCGAGTTTAGGTAGCTCACGAAAGCTTCAAGGAGTTAAATCCCAGTTATGGCAGTCTCAATCCCGAAATCCTTTTAGGTTCTAGCATAATAGACAACTATACTATACACAGTACTTAGATACCATACTTAAAAATAACGTGTATCGATCCGTCGCACTTCGAACGTACAATTCTGATTTTGGAACTTCGAGTTTTCACTCTTAACTGGTGTAATGGCGAAAAGATGTGTTCATCTAATTCTACATAAAAGATCCATTCTACATATTTTAGTCTTCGCTAAAACCATCCATTGTATTTTATTGTTATCTAACACCATTAATTAGATTTTATTTTTAGCCAAAACCATTCATTGTATTTTATTATTAGCTAAAACAATTAATTAGACTTTATTCTTAGCTAAAACCGTTCATTGTATTTTATTGTTAGCTGAAACCATTAATTATATTTTACCGTTAGTTAAAACCGTTCATTATATTTTATTGTTAGCTGTAATAATTAATTTTATATGATTCATAACTTGTGTACAAAATAATAAGAATATGGAATTTTGAATAATTATTCAAAAAACACTTCAAAGCTTATTGCAAAATGTAATGCTAATTTTGAACTGATAAGACGATTTTCACAAAAACAATGTGTGTATATATATATACATGTTTTTTCGCATTTTTTGTGCTGGGTTTATTAAGATCCCAATATATATTGGGATAGAAAGAACATGTTCATCTAATTTTAGATGAACCACCTGTTCTTATTTTATTATTAGCGAAAACCCGTTCGTTGCATTCGATTCCTAGGTGATGCATAAAGCAATAAAATCGTGAAAACTTCTTCAACAAAATCAAATAGACGACCATGAATCTTCTTAACATGTTCGGATACATCCATGAAGTACTGTTACCACTAAACTAGTTCGATGCACATGGCTATAATTAATTCCTGGCAAGCAGGATGCCTGTGTTAGCTGCACGAGCAGGAACATGCGAGCGGAAGTTATTTTTCAGTAGGAAGAAGACGAAAGAAGATGCGCGTCATCTTAATGAGTCGCGGCAAGCCCTATAAAGGCAAACGAGAAAATATTTTTCACACTATTGAGCCATCCTTAAACAATGCGTTACGTCTTCGTAGATAAAAAAGGAAGTGCCGGTGACTTTTCCCTGCCGTCCACGACAAACGTGCAATATTGAAAATAGAACGGGTAGATTGCAGATCTTTATGCAATATCAAATTATCCCGCATCAATTGCACGGAGCAAGAATCAGGTGTATATGTCTCATTGTTTTCTTAATTATTGTGCATCGATGTTAATCGATCGTCTGAATTCTTCCACTGTTGCATTTATGAACGAACGCATAAATCTGCAGCCTAACAATGTGCATTCCACGATGAACACGTTCGTGGACGAGTTAACTTCTGGAATGGTGTAATTAAGGAGGTAGGTATGCTGAGAAGTGCATACTTTATATTCATGAATGTGTAAATACGTTGTCTTAAGGAAAGGCGGAGATGATACAGTAAGATGGATATTCAGATTACAGTGCACAAGTATTTTGTATTTTGTATGTGCAAGAATTTGAGACATTGCTAACACTGTTAACAAAATCAAAATTAAAGTTTTATATTGTTTTTAAAAGACGGTGAAACCAATTGTACGAATGATGAAAAAATTATTCGAAGGATTAAAAACTTACACCGAAATAATCGATAAGAAAGTCTTTATGGATTTATTAAGATCTTTATGTATTTCTGACGAAAATGACTAGGTCGAATACGAAACTATAAGAAGACACTAAAAGAATTTAAGAATATTTTTATATTATGTTCAATTTATTAAAATAATTAAAGGATAGAAAAAAATATATTCATCGGATTTACGTTTCTTACAATTAACTTGCAAAGTTTTTATTGTGCGCACAAATTTGAAGTCTACGACACTAGAAACAGTCACCAATAGTAGTATAAACCAAAGAAGAATAGAACTACTAACTTTTAAAAAATGTTTTAATTTTAAGAGAGAAGTACGCGATATAACGATAGAACAGTTTTGAATAAAAATTGGCCAACTCCACGAAAAATCATCGTAGGATGATGACTTCAAATTATAGGTTGAAACCTCTACTTTAAGATAGTGATTTTGGATTTTAAGTTTGATGCATTCCCACCACTGTGATCCTTTAAATATGTGGCTATGTTCGTCGATAATGAAATTGTATTGAATATATTGAAAATTGCCAAGTTCGACGAAATGCCTTCCCCTTCAATTTAAAAGAAAGTCATCGCCCTACAATAATTTTTCGCGGAGTCATCGTCAGTCAAAGTTTGCCTATTTTTATCCAATTTGCCTATGCTATAATCTTTTTGATCAGCTGCACGCTTTTGTCATAAAGGCACAAAATCCGCGGTCAATATATTACCAAAGAAAACGCACGGGTATAATTAGCGAACTCGTTACGAAGTACATACGTGCTTTTAATAGCGCATTGTTTTCCGGCGAACGGCCGCAGTAAAGCGGAATTCGCCACGCATAAATTCCGCGAACAACAGATTTTCTAATTTATGTTAATTCGTTAATTATCCTCGACGTCGATGTATCATAATCATCGATTTTACTGGCGCGCTTTTCCTCCCGGGAATTTACTTTCTTGCGAATAGTCGTACGAACGGACGAGCTCTTTCTCGCACCAAGGAGATTTATTTTCTTGACGGTGCAATCGATTCGATATCGAATCCCAGCCAGTCCGTGTTCTCGTTTCTCGATTTTTCTATTTAGAGACATCACCCATCAAAGAAACCTATAACTTTCGCTTAATTTCTGTGGTCGCGAGATCATAAAGTTCTGCTGTTAAACAGGTTTATATACTGCCCATCAGTACACTGTAGGTTTGATGTGTCATGTTTTTTGTCA